GAGGACAACCTGTTGAGAAGGCGCAGCATGGGCCAGAGAGTAGATTATATTAGAACAGAAGGGGGCTCTGTCCTCCAGGGTAATATACGTCTTGAATCAAAAGCCTTCATCTGTGTGACCTGGTCGATTCAAAGCTCATATAAGTATTCAAACACGTTGAAAGCAGCGGTTGTCTCTACTTACCATCATCCCAATGACCCGCTTGGGGAATTTGTGTATGTTCCCTAATTCTTCACTCTGTGGATTCAGAGGTTGTTATCAAAGGGAAAATAATTGCATGATGTGATACATTTCCCGTGCCTGGATTCCTCACGTCAAGGAAGCAGCAAGCAAAAGAAGAGGCAGCATTTTGGCAGAAGTAATTGGCTGTGTTCACCAGGAAAATATTTTTGCTATTACCCAAATAGGACAGAAACAGATAGATATATTTAGCACTTTTGTGTTCTATATGGGTGCCTCCTGGTGTCCTTTTGCCCGATTTTGGTAGGAAATATATAAGTGCAGAAACTCAATCCTCAGAAAGGTCAAGGGACTATGGGCTCATTCTGCTCTGAGATGAGGGCTGGTCATGGCCCTAGTAAGTCATTATCATCCAGCAGAAGTGCTACCTTGGAGTGAGAGGAATGTAATAAACATAGAAAAGGTAGGCAATGATCATTAGTTGTGGCTTCAAGACCAGCTGCAGCAGTGGGGCCTGGGGTTCATCCAGTAACTCTCCTCTATCTCTCAAGAAGAAAAACACAGTTGAGTCCTGGAGGAGCCACTTAACCTATGCAAGAATGTGGATCTGTAGACAAAAAATGTAGATTGTGATGGGAACTGAGCTTTGCCTCCAATATTTCTCCTGAGGAATGAAGGACTTATTTTTCTAGGTGCTAAGTCTGCTGTAAGAAATGTTCTTTGTCTTTTCTATCTGCCTGCTTCCTGGTAGAAAGTGAGTACTTGCCTATATGCAGTGGCACATATATGTATAAAGTCCTAGTCTTTGCTCCAATCTGGTACAACTCTGAAGGAACGTCCCATCTCCTGAGCGGTACGTGGTGTCAGCTGAGGCATTCATTGTGCCTGCATAGAAGGTAAGCTTGTTTTGGCAAATCGTTTCTTCCTTTTTTTTCCTTAAATGTTGATATCAAAAGTGCTTTTTTTAAATATGTCCTGCATATTTAACTCTTTCTCAGAATCTGCTTCAGAGGAGGCCAGCTTGGAAGACAATATAGACACCCATATAACGATTAATTGTGAAAAATCCTGTAAGAGCACACTTAGAAATGTGACTTTTGTTGTTGAAAAGGATCTCTAACATTTTTTGTTTATTGATTGTTTAATATAGTTTTAAATATAAGCCACTTTTGTCATAAATATAATGGCCTTTTGAGTAACACTAATAGAAGTATAATGTGCATAGGGAAGAGAATAAGGAATTAGCCTTTCACAGTGACTATCCTAAGACAAGCCAGCAGACAAAATCTAGTAAATAAAGCACTGAAAACCTTGGTTGATTGAAAAGTAAGTAGATTCCTGTGAGCAATACTGAGCTATTAGAATAATTGTGATAACAATAATTAATAAGAGTAATAGGCATATTTTATATTGATAGTTTCAGAAAATAAGCCTTCAAGTTAAATATTTTAGTAAAGAATAATAATGGATTGATATTTAATGTATGCAATAAATTAATTTAGAAAAAAAAAAGAAAGCTTATTTTATACAGACATATATCTTAAAAAGTTAATTATATATGCTGGTCTCAGTAAAATATAATCATCTGAAGATATAATAGGTTGACAACAATCTTAATTAATTAAAGGAAATGTATTGACGATCATATGACTTTGTGCTGCTTACAACATTGGAAAAATGATCTTAGAAGATTGAAAATAAAATCATTTATTGACCTTTGAAACATTACAACAAAAAGATATATTTATCTCATCTAAAATAATTTATCATGACTAAAAATCTTTTAAAAATTTTAAATATATTAAATATTTAACCTAAAATGTCACCTTAGCAAAACCAATTAGGCCTAAAGAATTTTTAATAATTAAAATATTTTTGTTTTAAGACAAATAATATCCTGTCATTTTTATTTATCACTCTTTGTAGATACTGACTTAATAAGAAGTTATAGATTAAGCATAAAGATCTAGTCAATATGTTTGAACTATATAAAATACTCTGAAAATGGAATGGTGGGAAAAGCATGTAACCTGTACTACCAAGAAAATAAAACCTGATTTGCTTTATTACAGTTAGAGTGGGTAACACTGAATATATTATTCCAATTCTCTCTCATATATGAGTGAGAGAGGCAGGCAGAGATAGAAAGCTTTCTGAGAAACAAATCTAATACAATTCAATGACCACTAAATTAACTTTAAGCCTTTCTAAAGAGAGTTTAGATTTGTAAAAAGGATAATAGCTTATTTATTTGGCAATGAGAGGTGTGCTACAGGTTTCTCTACTCCTATTGTATCTCATATATTGCAGGGCATTAGTAATTAAATTGCATGAACAGTACAGGAATAGGGTACACAGATAAATAACAACTGGAAATCTGAAAATAAAATTATATTTATATTTACATATGTAATTCTATTAAAATGTTACTAATTCAAAGAAAATATGCCATAACATTTCCAAATAATAATTAAATATTAAATTTTATATAATGATGTACTTGACAACCAGCCTACAATTTCTGAAAATTTAAGAGTCAGCTTTCCCAGACTGATAAAATTCAGCACATTATTGATAAAAGTAAAACACACAAGTAATGAACAACTGTGGGATTAGTAACTGTGGTCAGGAAGATAAAGGACTGGGGAGAAAACATTATCTTTAATATTTGAAAGAGTATATGTGGAAGAGGAACTGCCTTGATTTTGAATCTGGAGATTTGTTTGCAATCCTTGATGCAATGTAAGAGAGATTACCTTTAATTTAATGTAATACTAATCAAGAAAATTTTATCCTCAAAAATGTACTCTGGAGAATAAGCTTCATTTGAAAAATGAGCTTAGAAGTCGTCAATCCATACTTACAACAAGAGAAATGCTGAACGAATTGAAAAGCAACAACTCTTCCTGGATACATGAGAGAACTACACTTGCACAGCAAACTATCACCCCCAAGTCTGGAAAGATGGAATAATGCAGAGAATCACAGTGAGATATGCCTACCTGGGATAGAAGCCACTAGAGCCCTGAACTAGTTGGACAATTAAATATTAATCTTGACATATATCTCAAAGGCAAGTGTGGATAAGAATGGAAGTAGAAACAACTGGTTGCTCCAACTTTAGAGAGAATCCCACATTTTGTGAGGTTTTTCTACATCAACTCCATTATATTCTCACAAATAAAAAATGAGATAATATTCTTATGTATCTAGCAAGGGCAAGGGAACAGCAATCATTATAGACTATACTCAGAGCTTTTTCCATAACAAAATCTGCTCTTCAAGGAAAATACTATACCAGAGTCTTATTCCAACTGTGCGGAATTTATCCTCACACTCTTGTCTAGCCTTTCTGAATAAGTTTAAACTGGGCAGGTGGGTTGTTGAAGGATATAGAACTAGAGAAAAACTTGTGAAGGTTAGAGCCCACAGACACAGACTCATTCAAAATTAAGATTTATTCGTAAGATTATAGCTCACACACAACCACATAACTTACAAGCATATCAATTGGCTCAGTACAATAGCACAATAACCACTACAAGATTCAGCCTGTTGCTGAGGAGGAATATTTAGTGAAGCCCAAGGTCAAAAACAAAGACACTGAATATATTTAAAGCCTATGGTAGCTGCAGCTATTGGAAACATTAAACAAAGCAATGATTAGCCAGATAAAATCTCACTAAAGGCCAACTTACCTCAGTACTTAAATTTAATTTAAAAAAATAAAAAGTCTAGCTTTCAACTAAAAAGTAGAAAACATACCAAAGGCAAAAAAAAAAAAGTCCAAATAGACAAAACCAGCACTAGAATTAGACTCAGATATGATACAGATGTTAGAATTACAACACAGGGAATATAAATAACTAAAGGCCTGGCATGATGGCTCACACCTGTAATTCCAGCACTTTGGGAGGCCAAGGCAGGTGAATCACCTCAGCCTGGCCAACATGGTAAAACGCGGTCCCTATTAATGTAGGAAAATTATCCAGGTTTGGTGTCATATGCCTGTAATCCCATCTACTTGGGAAACTGAGGCACAATAATTGTTTGGGGAATGCAGATACAACACTTGGGGAATGCAGATATAACAGTAGTTAGAAAAAAATTTATGGACTTAAATGTGTATATTAGAAAAGAACAATGATCTCAAAGAAAGTATGTAAGTCTCTAGAAAACTAGCAAAAGAAGATAAATTTAATTTTTAAAAAAGTAGAATGAATATAATAGCGTAAATGAGAACACAAACAAAAATATTGGTAACAGAAAAATAATAGATAAATAAACGCAAAATCTGATCCTTTGAAAGGATTAATAAAATGAATAAAACCCTAGCTAGGCTAACTAGAAGAAAGAGCAAGAGAGAGAGAGAACAAATGTGTGTGATGTGTGTGGTGTATGTGGTGTGTGACTGTGTGTGTGTATGTGAGAAAGACAGAGAGAGAGAGAAGGAGAAAGAAAGAGAATGAGAGAGAGAGACTTTACCAATATATGAAAAAAGTGAAATTACTTCTTTATCTTCTAAACATTAAAATGATTTTCAAACTTTTTTAAATGTTTGAAACAATTACATACCTCCAAATTTGAATAGACAAAACAGACCACTTTCTTGAAATAATCAAACCAAAACTCACACAAAGACAAAAATAAGTTATTAGTAGGTCTATATCTACTAAGTACATTGAATCAATAATTAAGAACATTCCACCATGTATGCACTATACCTAGATTGTTTAACTGTTGTATATCAGAAGCAGAAGGAACACTTCTTTTTCATATATATATATATATATATATATATATATATATATATGACTCAGTCCCCATAGAGACTGCCCAAAATTGCCAACACCGACTATATTTCAAGTTGTCATGGCAGAATATTGGGAAAAGTTTTCAATTAGCAATAATTGCGCCTCGGAAAAACCTCACTGGCTACGATACTGCCACTGCGCAAAGCTCAGAAGGAATCCTTCTTAACTCATTCCATGAGCCCAGCATTACTTTAATAACACAAAGATACAAAGGTATTACAAGAAAACTATCAACTAATATATTTTATGCATATACATGCAGAAATCCTCAACAAATATTAACAAATAAAACTCAACAATGTATTAATAAAGGAAACATATTCAAAATCTACAAAAATATGACAACTAAATAGGATTAATTCAAGGAATGCAAGGCTAGTTTAACTTTCAGAATTCAATGGATGCTATCCATCACATTAGCAGGTTTTAAAAAAATAATAAGATAATACAAATTTATTTTTAAAAACTTTTGACAAAATCAAAATTCTCTTATTAAAAACTTTCAATACACTATAAACTGAAAACTCTTAAGTTTGATGCAAAAATTTATAAAAACCTACAATAAGCAATCATGTATAATGAGGAGAAACTGAGTGCTGTACCCCTAAAACAAACAGACAAACAAAAGTGAAAAATGCATTTTTCTCCAGTACAACCCAGTCTTATGATGAAAGTCCTAGCTAGTGTAAGAGGACAAGAAAACAAGAAGCTATACTGATTGAAAAGAAAGAAATGTAACATTTAAATATTTCACAGGCAGCATGACTCTCTATGTAGAACATTTCAAAGAATCAACAATATAACTGCTGGACTTAATAGCAAGGTCATATGAAACAAGGTTTATGTCAAACATTAATTGATTTTTATACAAAAGCAATAAACAACTGAAACTTAAAATGTTAAAAACAAATCCATTCACAACTACTTCAACAACAAAAGTGAAATATTTACAGCATATGTGCAAACTAGATTTCTGCAAAAATATAAAAATTGTGAAAAAAAACCCAAAAAGACCTGAAATAGTGAACTCTCCGTGTTTATGGATTGTAATAGTCAACATTATCAGAAAGTCACTTCTTTCCAACTTGATTTATAAAGTCAATGCAATTACAATCAAAATTCCAGGAGGGTATTCTATTGACACTGACAAATAGATTCTATAGCTTTATAGAAAGTCAAAAGATCAAGAGTAGCCAACGCAATGTTGAAAAGCGAAGTTGGAAGTATTATACTACCAGATTTCAAGACTTACTTTAACAGTACTATGATTAATATGCATTGTTGTTTGAGAATCTCACTCTGTCACCCAGGCTGGATTGCAGTGGAGTGATCTCGGCTCACTGCAACCTCCAAGTCCCAGGTTCAAGTGGTGCTCTTGCCTCAGCCTCCCGAGTAGCTGGGATTACAGGTGCTCACCACCATGCCTGGCTAATTTTTTAAAATTTTTAGTAGAGACAGGGATTCACCATGTTCAGGCCAGGCAGATTTCAAACTCCTGATCTCAAGTGATCTTCCCACCTTAGACTCCCAAAGTGCTAGGATTACAGGTGTGAGAAACAATAGGCACATATTTCAAAAGAACAGAATAGAAAGCTCAGAAAGAGCCCCACATGAATATCAAAATTGGACTTAGAGAAAAGTGTAATGTTAATCCAGTGAATGAAGGATGTTCTTTTCAACACATGGTGGTGGAAATATTGGATGTCTATTTGAAAAAAAAAAAGAACAAGAATCTAAACACAGATATTACAATTTTTACATACACACCCTTTGCCCCCCAACACACACAAATCAAAATGAATCAAATAACTAAATGCAAACTGTGAAATTATAAAGCTTCTAAAATTAAACATAAGAAAAAAATCTAATTTCACCTTTGCTGATAGAACACCAAATAAATAAGCCATGAAATAAAAATTGATATTTTGAATTTTAATACAACTAAAAACTTCTCTGTAAATGACACTATAAAAGGAATGAAAGAAAAGTCACAGATTGAGACAATATATTTGTGAAATACATATCAGGTTAAGAAAAGGATTTATTCAAACATACCTTCAAAATATCCTAAAACTCAACATGATTTTTTAAAATTAAAAAATGAACAAAATATCTCAGCAGATATCTCACTAGGGAAGATATATAAATGGCAAAAAAGAAGAAGATATGTAATATTATTTGTCATGAGATAATTCTGATTTAAGATAACATGAGATACAACTGCACAATTATTAAAATGGTTAATATCTAACTGCCTGACTTCATCAAATGACATTGAGAATACAAAGCATGAAGTCTCCTTTATTGCTAATGGGAATGCAAAATAGAACAGAACTTTGGCAGACAATTTGTCAGTTTCTTACAAAGCTAAAAGTAATTTCATTGTATTTTCCAGCAATTTTAAGATATGTTCACATGAAAATTTGCCTCTAAATAGTTATAGAATCTTTTTTATAATTGACGAATTTGGAATCAAAACATTCTGTAAAAAGTAAATGTGTAAATAAACCGGTACCTTTGTATAATGTATAATGTATTTTATTGCACAGTGAATTATTCCTCAGTAAAAAATTAGCTATCAAGCTGCAAAAAGGTATAGATGAATCTTAAGTGCATATTGCTAAATAAGCCAGTCTGGAAAGGCTGTACACTACATGATTCCAATTATATCATGTAAAAAAAAGTAGAGGTCTAGTGAGAAGAGTCATTTCTAGGAATGAAGAGGAGAGTTTAAATAAGAGAAATACAAAGTTTTTATGAAGTAATTATCTACCACATAAAACATATTTTTCAAAATCCATAGAAATTAGTAGCAGTAAGAATATACTTTGATATATGATTTCTCAGAAAAAAATAACTTGATATTTTAGGATTTGGGGATGGATTTCAGAATGTGACAAAACAATCCAACTGTATTACTAGATATACATGAAACAACCCCACTAAATTGAACAGGAGTGGGACAGGGAGAACTGATCAAAGAAAGTATATAAAGAACTGATCAAAGAAAGTCTAAAACTCAATGAAAATAAACTGCATATAAGCACTGCACTCTAATAGGCTTTTCCCCCCTTATGAAAGTGTACATTAACAACTCTGATACCATTATACAATTTTACTGGAATTGAACAATGAGGAAAATGGATGGCAAATTGTAGAAGCCAATGTTAAAGTGCAAATTTGCATAGAAATAGTAGTTGGAGGTTGGAATAATCCATGGTCATGGATCAGTATGACATCAGCATACAATCACTTAAAGCTTAATACAGATTAAAATAGTTGCATCTAGAAATATTCATAGACATGTTTATATACATGAGATGTCAACTGAGAAGTTCCTGAAGCAATGACACCTCAGTAGCAATGAGCACACCTAACATGCAGGTCTTTATTTATAATAGCATTTTAAGTAGAAGAACCCAAAGCTCCTTGTAAAAATAGCTGATCTAGGACAGAACCAAGAAATAAACAAGAGGAAACCTGGAGTGTGTTATAGTGCCAGAGAGTGAGAATCACTAAATACACACAGACACATGCACACACACAATGACAGGGTTATGTCAACCAGACAAGGAAGCTACCTGAAGAGTTCACAATGCCCAAGGCTGAAATGATTTTAGCAACAAAATAGATAAAGGAGCATTGGCTATAACAGAAAGCCCTAAATAAAGATCTGTGAGTCCATACTGGTATAAATAGACGATTGAATAAATTAATAAATGAGGAGCAATAGAAAATTTTCCCTTGCAGATTTCAAGTAATGTATTAAATATTGTCTTCTCAGAAAGGAGGAACCTAAGTCCCAACTCCTTAAGTCTGGCCTACTCAGGGTGAGTTTCTTCCAGAAAGAATAGAGAAGGGGAAGGAAAAGATAGCTTCAATGGAGACACATAAATATCACTCACCCTTAAGATCAAGATCAGTGTCAACAGTGACATGTCATGTAGGTAAGATGCATGCTTGAAATGGTGTGATGACAATGGCACTTTACCACTATATTCTTCCTTCCAAAATCATATAATCTCTTTCTAATCATAAGAAAAATGTCAAACAAATCCCAGTTGTGGGTCATTCTACAAAAGGTCTTACCAGTACTTTTCAGAACTGCCAGAGTCATCAAAAAGATGCAAATCTGATAAATTGTCATAATCAAGAGGAGCCTAAAGACATGAAAACTAAACTATATTTAGTGTTCTGTAGAGGATATTGGAACAGAAAACGGACATTAAGGTAAAAACAAAGGAGGTTTGAGTGAATAATATTACACCAACATTGCTTCATTAATTGTAACACATGTGACATAGTCATGTAAGATGTTAATAAGAACACCTAGTGGAGAGTGTTTGAAAAATCTCCGTAACGTCTTCCCAATTTTTCGATATACTTGGAGCAGTTCTAAAATTAAATAACTTATTAAAATACAAAACACTCTACTGTGCTTATAAGCTCCACAATACTGAAAATGTTCATGTAAAGACTGGAGAATTGCAGATTGGGCATTTTCCTAAAATAAATGTAAACCTGACCTAATTTCTTCATATAAAATCCTTTGTATTGTATTATAAAGTCAGGCCTACCTTTCATACACCTGAGCCTCAGCATAGTTTGCTTGACTCTGTATAAAATGCTGACAAAGTCAGGGTCCTTATCTACTAAGAACTTACAGTATATAGAAAAAAACACAGTTAAAACTTCAAGATCTATGATGGGGCCTGCCAAGGTGGTAACAGGAGCAGACAAGGAGCAACTTAGCTCAACTACAGAGACTTGGGGAGATTTTCTGGGGGGAGGTGATTTCCCATTTGAATCTTGAAAATGGGTAATAATTATTTAAACTAAGAAGGGAGCAAAGAGCGATTTATGAAATCAGGAGGGCAAACTAGGTGAGAGAGCATCTTAGCGACTTGAAGTCACGGTGCAGAGTGAACTCTTGTATCCCTGGATTATTCTGAGGGAATATATAAGAGTCAGACTATGGTGAGCTCTATCTGTTATATTAAATAACTTGCATTTATCTGGTTTTTCAAATCAATCTTCCCTTTAAATATGTAAATCAGCTCTATTCACTAATATAAATTTCTTTTATCCTGAAAGTTGTCATGAAAACACGTATTTTCCTCTTGTTCTGGTTTAATGTGATTGTTTAG